AAACCCGGACTGTTGGCCACCATTAGGTCCTCCAAACCCGGGCTGTTGGCCACCATTAGGTCCTCCAAACCCGGACTGTTGGCCACCATTGGGACGTCCATTACCTCCACGTCCACCACCTCCACGACCCCCTCGTCCACCGCCACGACTGCCACCGAACCCACTCTCGCAACCATTTTCTTGTTGGCATTCAATATATACTATTCGTACGGATTTTGTAATTATAATTAAATGTTTATAAAATAATTTTACAATTACTTACCACAGAATCCAATCAACAGTATGGTTGTTATTTTGGCAAACATTTTAGTATATATTAATATGGTAGTTAGTTTTTAAAAATTATTTTTTGCTTGTAGTGTATGAAAAAATAAAATTAAAACTGCTATTTATACAAAAGTAATTCAGTTGTTTTCAATTATAAACATGGTGAGTAATTTAAAATTCTTGATAATTATTGATAATATTTGGAAAACATTATGAGTAATTCTTATAACACATTAATTTTTGAAACATTTTTATTTAATAAAAATCATTAATAACTATTAAGCATGCTATGTGTATTACATAATGTGTAATATTACACTACAATATTGCAATTTTGTTTTCCATTCATAAACATAATAATTTATTATTCAATTTAATTTTACAAATTTATACATTTAAATTAATTAATTGTTTGTATTGTATTTTACCCTTAAAAACTGTAATAATTTCTATAATTTAAATTTGCTTACTTTACATTGCTATAATTTTATAAAAATGGGATAGCTCTGATTTCCGCATCACAATTTTAATATTTTTAATTAACTTTTGTAAACTGTTAAGAAATACGTTTGACAGGTCAGGAAAATGTTTGGCATGTTTTGCAATTAAGGCAGTGCCTGTATATAATAAGAAGTATTTATCAGTTTAGTTATATTTCATTTGAAATATAATTATTATTTTTATCGCTTTTCTCCACCAATTTCTCTATCATTTCGGGCAGTCTTGCGATACTATTATCCGATTGTATTCTCGCAGATATTTTCCG